CAACCCATTAAGAAAGTGGGCAAAGTGGGACGCCTGGGTGGCTCAGTGGGTTAAGCCGCTGCCTTCGGCTCAGGTCATGATCCCAGCGTCCTGGGATCGAGTCCCGCATCGGGCTCCTTGCTCAGCAGGGAGCCTGCTTCTCCCTCTGCCTCTGCTGCCACTCTATCTGCTTGTGCTCACTCTCGTGCTCTCTCTCTCTCTCTGACAAATAAATAAATAAAATCTTTAAAAAAAAAAAAAAAAGAAAGTGGGCAAAGGACTTGGACACACGCTTCACTGAAGAAGACAGATTATAAATAAGGACATGAAAGGATGCTCAGTAGTGCAAATTTAACCCAAATAAGGTACTCTATGTGCCTACTCCAATGTCTAAATGTAAAAGGCTGTCTATAACAAGGGTTGGCAAGGATGTGGACTAACCGGAGCTCTCAAACTGGTAAAGAGTTTGACAGATTCTTAAAAAGTGAAACATACATTTACCCTATGACCCTAACATTCCACTCATCGGTTTCCTATCCCAGAGAAACAGAGACATATGTCTACAAGTAGACTTAGGCAAGAATATTCACAATCGCTGTATTTACAATATTCAAAAAACAACCCAAATGTCCATCAACAGGTGAATGAGTAAACCAATTATTTTTAAATCTCTATAATGGAACAGCCCTCGGCAATAAAAAGGGATGAACCTTTTAGATGAATATCGAAATGATTATACTGAGTTTTTAAAAGCCAGACCCCTCCCCCTGCAAAAAAAAAAAAAAAGAGTACCTGCTGCATGATTCCATTTATACAAAATTCTAGAAAACACAAACTAATTTATAGTGACAGAAATGGGTTGCCTGGAGATTGGGGGGTGAAGTGGAGTAGTTAATGGATATTCTTGATACCTTGATTATGGTGATGATTTCACAGATGTATACATATGTCAAAACTTATCAAATTGAATACTTTAATATATGCCATTTATTGTATTCCAATCATCCTTCAGTAAAACTATGAGGAAAAAAGAAAACCACACAATAAAAGAAAAGCAAAGAAGGAAAGAAAAGCAAAAAATGATACACCATGACCAAGTTGGGTTTATCTCAAGAATGCAAGGCTGACTTAATATTTGAGAATCAATTCATGTCATTGATCACATTTACATAATAAAGGAGAGAACTACGTACGTAATCATCGCCATAGAGGCAGAAAACAGAAATAATTCATCTTCAGAGAAATAACACAAGAAAACATACCACGATTTAGTCATGAGCTTCCAGGGTGAAAGGGAGCACTATGTATAATGCAGACTGAATTGTGGAGGGGGGGACCTCACTGTAAGGCACATCAATGGAAAATTTCAAATGAGAAAGGAAAAAGAGATGCGCCTGGGTGGCTCAGTGGGTTAAAGCCTCTGCCTTCCGCTCAGGTCATGATCCCAGGATCCTGGGATCCAGCCCCCCATCAGGCTCTCTGCTCAGCAGGGAGTCTGCTTCCTCTTCTCTCTCTGCCTGCCTCTCTGCCTACTTGTGATCTCTGTCTGTCAAGTAAATAAATAAAATCTTTTAAAAAAAAAAAAAAAAGGAAGGCAAAAGAATATCCTAAACGCTTTCAGAAAGAACCATAAAAGAGTCACATATAAAAGGAGAATCAGAATGGATTCGAGTTCTTCTCAACAGCAAGGGAAAGCTGGAAGATAAGAGGACAATGCCTTCAGAATTCCAGGTAAAAAAAAATGTTTGCAACCTAAAATAACTATTAAATCAAACTCTCAATCTAGTCTATGGCAGGAGAATAAAGACATTCTAGTATATTCTAAAAAACAGATTCCTCTGTACCCTTTTCTCAAGAATATAGTGAATGTTTTTTCCCCACCAAAACAAGGGAATATACCCAGAAAGATTAAAAGAAAATACATCAGTCAAAGGACAGGAGAGAGAGGCAGGAAGTCTCCCCTGGATGAAAGTGAAGGAAAGTCCCACAACAACAGCTGTGTACCAGATCGAGAATACAACCAGACTAGTTGATAGTAGAAAGATGGAGATACTCATTTGGACGTTTTCAAGACCAAAAAAAAAAAAAAAAAAGAATTGATAGAATACCTGGGTTTTTTAAAAAAAAGATTTATTTATTTATTTGACAGAGAGCACAAGGAATGGGGGGGCAGGGGCAGAGGCAGAGGGAGAAGCAGGCTCCCCGCTGAGCAGGGAGCCTATGCGCCCCTTGATCCCAGGACTCTGAGATCACCACCTGAGCTGAAGGCAGATGCCCAACCAACTAAGCCACCCAGGCAACCCTGAATGTCTTAATTTTTTTTTTTTTCAACCATATTGTGAGATTTAAAATTCACTCAAGAGTTCTGGGTTTGACTATTGATAGATACAGAAAATCAAGCAAATAAAAAAACAAGGTAATTCTTTACTCCAGGCTAAGCAAAGGTTGTATAAGAGAAGAAATATTCTTTTTTTTTTTAAGACTTATTTAAAGATCTTAAAAAAAAAAAAAAAAAGAAAGAAAGAAAATTTGAGGTCTATGCCAAAAGAAATAAAAGTACTTGCCCCTGTGGACTAGAGAAAGACAAGGCAGGAGCAGCTAGGGGTCAGCGGGGAGGCTTTAGGTCTTATATTATTTTTTTAAAAGATTTTATTTATTTATTTGACAGAGATTACAAGTAGTCAGAGAGGCAGGCAGGGAGAGAGGAGGAAGCAGGCTCCCCGCCAAGCAGAGAGCCCGATGCAGGGCCGGATCCCAGGACCCCAAGACCATGACCTGAGCCGAAGGCAGAGGCCGCAACCCACTGAGCCACCCAGGCGCCCCTAGGTCTTATAATATTTTTAAAGTAGTATTATTTGATTTTTAAGATTATGTACATATATGGAGTATCTGAGTGGCTCAGTCAGTTAAGCATCTGCCTTCAGTACAGGTCATGATCTCAGGGTCCTGGGATCGTGTCCAACATCGGGCTCCTTGCTCAATGGAGAGTCTGCTTCTCCTTCTGCCTCTACCCACCACCCCCTTCACCACCATGACATCCCGGCTCATGCTCTCTCGCTCTCACTCTCACTCTATCTCAAATAAATAAATAAAATATTTTTTTCTTAAAAAAAAAAAAAGAAGACTGTACATGTGTTATTTTGATTTTTAAAAAGCAAAACATGACTCTCTTTGCTGTCATGATCCAACAGTTTCTGTAATGTTTGATTACATTACTTGGAGTCCCAAGGACAAGCATAAAGAGGTTTGGGAACAAACACAACTGATCCCTGGCCATGAACCACTTGAGTGGAAAAAGAGCTATGAGAGCTTGCTCGAAGCAGCCTACCAGCTGTGTGCATTCAGCAAGACAAGGACACCAGGTCGGCCGCTCTCTTACAGGACTACAGAGCTCTGGTTAATCTAGCAAATCATTTAAACTGAGGTCAGTTAAAAGAGCTTCTACTGTAATGAATCCCGATAATAAAGGAGATGAAATAAAACAGCCTTAATCCATCCACTTTGGCTACCCTGTCATTTTCCCATGGGTTGGATGGAAGAAATTTCACAAGGAGTCGAACTCAAGATCATCCTTCTCAGGGTCATTCAATTTGCCCTGAAATATTAACCCTCTTGAGGGAAATCCGCAAATGAGAATAAATTAGAAACCTTCTGAAGGGCAGGCTATCTTACACATCCTCTGGCTTAGTCCACAGAATGAGTTGAAAAGGTGGCAAAAGAGATAAGAAAGCAAAATCTGCCTTTTGCGCCGTGATGGACCTGATTTCATTTCAGTAACGAGATTTATTCCATGGTCGTCCCCTTGTCCTTTGCATTGGGGTAGGGATGCATATTAGCATCGCAAGAGAAAACAAGTGGTCGGGAGCCAAAAGGCGACTTGGGATGTAGCCTCCTCTATCCACACTGAGTAGGATTGTCGTGAATATCCTAGTGTCAAAGTCACCACCTTAACTGCCCCATCCATGAAACCCTGAGGTTTTGAGAATTTTAGATTGCTAATTATTAAAAGAGCTAAGGATGTACAGCCACCTTTTCAATAAATCAGCCCACTGTTGATCTCTTTGCTGTGCTCTTTGGGGTAATGATCTGCAGAAATATCGCCCGGTAAGGAGAATGCATCTCTCGTTCTTTCCCTTGAACTCAATTCTGGAGGACCTAGGAAGATGAGATCCACCTCCCCTTCGCTCATTTGCTGAGCCCACACGGCTGTGACAGCCCTTCCTGGTAAGAAATCATCAAATTTCCTTTGCAGCTAAAACTAGAAAACTAAGCAAGGCAGAAATCAGCTTTTAAGAAGGATGGAGCCATTAAATGATTTTTTTTCTACACGTAGATTCAGCTAGGAAGGGCCATTTGGATCTTCTGAAATGTCACTCGTCATAGCCCGTGCAAATCAACTCAAAACAAGTATATTCTCTTTATTCAGAAACCTTGAGGCTACTTTCTTCTTTGGCATCAGTAAGCAGGAATGTGACTCAGGTTCAGCTGCTTAAACATCTTCTTGGTTGAGTCTAGAAATGTCTCATTGGCCACTCCCCACGGAGTGACCACCTCCCTAATGTCTAGGCCCCAGCTCTGATCATTAGCCAGGCTTTGACCTTGCCACAAGTGTATCAGTACTTGCCATCTTGGTTTTGATGGGACTGAACTGTTCATTTTAGATAGGAAAACCTGATATATTTTTTTAAGCCATTCATATTTGCACACAAGGGAAGCGTCATAGTCACTCTCCTCCTCTTACTTCAGACCACCTTATTTCGCACGTTGCAGGACACAGATCAACCACAGAGCAACTTGCATTGACACTTTTCACAGACAGCCTTCGAATCACCTTGTAAACATCGGAGGTCCCCTCCTCTTACTCTCTACCTCCTCCGCAACTCCTGCCTTCCCAGCAATGTTTGGGAGCTACTGCTGGGCTTCGTGACCTAATGGGGAAGACTGTTGAATTACTGAATGTTTTCCTAGCTGGAATCTACATCTTCTCAAGCTTTATTAAGCAAGGGGCCCCAGAGAGGTACCTCCGTGTCAGAGCTGTTGCCATTCAGAGCCTCCATGTTTGGGTCCCTCCAGTCTTCTGAGAGTGAAGGGATGTAATTGTCTGTCAGAGCATCCCAAACCCTGTAAACAAAGAGAAGCTCTCATTAGCACACATCTGTGGCCTGGCCCCGCCTGGAGGAAGGAAGAGCTGGGCCAGGGGAGGAGAGAGGCTTCTGTGTGTGCCAGGCTGAGGTCATCTGCCTTCCAGCATGCGAGAGCAAAGCAGCTTAAAAAACAGAATTAGAGGCACTACCAGGAGAGAAAGAGCCAAGAGAATGGACCCTGGCCAGGGGCTTCAGCATGAAAGGTGTTTGCTTAAAAGAAGAGGGCTTTCTCACCATTGAGATACACACGGTAGAGTACAATCAAGCCAACTCTGGCAAAAAATAAATTGCCCCTGAAAATAAATCTGCCCTTCCACCAAATAGTTGATGTGTCATGAACCTAAGAAACGCCCATGTTTCCTTTCCTTTCCTTTCTTATGGGTGAAGAAGACAGAGAGAAAGAGGAAGATCATGATAGATTGATAGATTTATAGATACATAGATGATAGACACGCAGATGGACATCAGGGCAGATTTTCTGGCTGAATCTCATTAAGATCAGGGTCATCATAAAGTTCAGATGCATTTCAATTTTACTGAATGCAAATCAATCTAAATGGTCAAGAATTAACTCCTTGACATCTAACGTAGCTAAGGGGATAATGCCGATGCTGTTCATGCTTACTTATTACCCAGAATGCTCTAGCGAGCCCACGGGTGGCACGATCCCGCCCTCTAGCAATGTAAGTCTCCATCATGGACCCTCTAAGGCAAATGTAGGAAAGGAATCAATCAATACACTTCTAACAATTGGTTTTTGTGAGGGAAGATGGGGCTCCCCTTATTACGTTACTTTTAAAAATTCCAATATGTACATTATAAGAAACCCTTTCCTACAACTCATGCCATTTAATTCACTTATTTCAGAAAGTTTTCTTGGGTGGGGCGGGGTGGAAGAGAGGGGGTTAGGGGAAATTACCTAAAGTCACAAATTCTCAACAGGAAAATAAACAAATGAGGGACACCTGGGTGGCTCAGTCGTTAAGTATCTGCCTTCAGCTCAGGTCCTGATCTCAGGGTCCTGGCAGTGAGCCCCCATTCAGGCTCTCTGCTCAGCAGGAAGCCTGCTTCTCCCTCTCCCACTCCCCCTGCTTGTGTTCCCTCTCTTGCTGTGTCCCTCTCTGTCAAATAAATAAATAGAATCTTAAAAAATAAAAATAAAAATAATAGGGGCGCCTGGGTGGCTCAGTGGGTTAAGCCGCTGCCTTCGGCTCGGGTCATGATCTCAGGGTCCTAGGATCGAGTCCCTCATCGGGCTCTCTGCTCAGCAGGGAGCCTGCTTCCCTCTCTCTCTCTCTCTGCCTGCCTCTCTGTCTACTTGTGATCTCTGTCAAATAAATAAATAAAATCTTTAAAAAAATAAAATAAAAATAAAAATAAAAATAATAAATGAGTCAACACCGAGAGATTAACAAAAATCATTAAACCAAGCTCCTAAAATAATGTCATCCATGGCAGCCAGTGGCATTGGCTAATATTAGCTAATGATAAATGAGGGCTCTACGCAATCTTCCTCTGGTGCCTACACATGCCAAACATGAGTGATACCTACGAAAACAAAGTCTAAGAAGGTACATTTTATTTAGATTGACTAATATAAAGAAATAGCCATTTAAAAATAAGCAACTGGGGCACCTGGGTGGCTCAGTGGGTTAAAGCCTCTGCCTTCAGCTCAGGTCATGATCCCAGGATCCTGGAATCGAGCCCCGCATCGGGCTCTCTGCTCAGCAGGGAGCCTGCTTTCCTCTCTCCCTTTCTCTGCCTACTTGTGATCTCTCTCTCTGTCAAATAAATAAATAAAATCTTAAAAAAATAAAAATAAAAATAAAAATAAGCAACTAAGTATACATATGGATCAAATTCAAAACATGACAAAATCCAGGCTGAAAAGGCAAGTGCAGGACGGACAGGAGCACAGACATTTGAAATATGAACAAGTGAGTGCCCTTAACATATGTAAAATCCAGAATGATATATGATTTATGGGCATAGAAGCAAAGAGACTTTCCTAGTGCACAAGGTATACAACTGGTCATGAGGCACATTGAAGGAACTCAAAAAAACACAGTTTCAGAGCCGTGCGCGGGTGATCCGCTTATTCTGTTATTTTCCTACAATTACAAGAAAGCACTTCGAGAGGACTCATCAAGTGTTCATTAGACATCCATTCAGCAGGATTTCAGCGTCTGCTTCTTAAACATGGGTGATAATCCAATCTCCATCAGGCACCATTAGAGCTTCATTAATCCAGCCTAATGCTAACACAAGTCTCAGCAGCATTCTAAAGCCAAGAGGCAAACACGATTTGCTGTCTCCAGGACAAAACTCCAAGCCCCACACCGGGAAGGCCAGCGGGGAACTCCCCCTTCACATGGCTGTGTTACCTTCTCTGCTGCGGAGAATCGACAACAAGCATGTGGGCATTGACCTTCGAGTTCTCCCTGCAGCAAGCGCCTGGAAAAATGAAATTCAGCAAAGCCCAAAATAGGCAGGAGGATTTTGTGCCTCTTCTAGGCTGGATAGAAGCCGGGAACTTTAATGAACCACACACTTGCCAATGACCCTGAAACTGCCTACATTCTTAAAACAAGTAGGGACTCTGTCAAATCGTGGAGGGCGTGGCAGCTTTTCTCATGTGAGCCTTCACTGACATATTCTGGATTTCATCTTCCAATTCTAGATTTTTAGGGACGATTCCCCACACCCTGATCTCTTTGGGATTTCAAGCCATCCTCATTCTTTCCTGTTCTGTCCAAATTGTCTTCTTCTTTTCTGAAGCACTCTTTACCCTTCAGGGTTCATAAACAACCTTTAAGACAGAGTGACTCTTATCTCTGTAATTGCTCGCATACGCCACACCCCTACGCGTAGTCAGTGCCCACGTCACAATAATAACGGCCACCCCTTAATGGGCACTGACCATAAGCCAGGTACTCTCCTAAACCTTTGTGTGGATGGATTCATTTCTTCCTCACAACTCTATAAGGCAGATCCTAAGGAGGGGGGAAAAAAAACTGAAACAGAGAAGTCCGTTAACTTGTCTAGGGTCACACAGTCAGTAAAGACAGAGGTGGGATTTGAAACCGGGCAATACAGCTACAGAGCTCATATGCCTAACCATGTAACTATTCCAGTTCTTTATAATTTTACTGGCACTGGCACGGGCATCAGAATAATATACGAAGCTCCCACTCACGAGCTAGAACAGCAGTTTAGAAAGTGGCTCTGAGTGAAAGATCTCGAACTCTATTTTCCTTGGACAGGGTGCTTTTTTCGGTCTCCAAAAGGAGCGATGGCAGGGGCAGCAGGGGCGTGACGGCTTCCTGTCTAGCTCTCCGGCCCCAGCAAAGGTTACACAGAAGGCAAAGGCAGAAACACTGGCGGCAGCCACGGGAGCGGGAGAGGGAGCAAAGAGCCAGTGGTGGGAGGGAAACACAAAGCTTTCTCTGAGGGAGAGAAGGGGAAGGGCTTTCTTCCCCAGAGAGGCTACCTATTCTCCCACAAGCAAGGGCCTTGGGAATGAACACATTCCCTTTTACAGGCACCCTGAGGAGGACTGTGAAATTCTACTTCCCTGAGAAGCACCCTGCTATGGACTCTTATCTTGGGGAAGGGAGACTCCCAATGTTACCTCCTAGATCTGTTCTCGAACAGCCAAGATTAAACAGGTTGCCTTAATGCCCGTCGTTATGCTGCTCTTCGTGTGCATGGTTTATGGCCTGGGCTTAGCGAGGTGCCTGTGGACTGACTAAACCATCTTTCACCACACAGGGCTGGGGATTCGGAAATGGACACAGGCAGAGTGTGAGGGACTGAGCAGGATGGGTTGTGACAAGACACGGATACAGAGATCTGGGTCTACTGGCAATATGACCATCAAGGCTACGTGAGTCCTGCCCCACACACACACACACACACACACACACACACACACACACACACACGCCTCTTTGTACCTATTCTGGACAATACAGCAGGCAGCTAGGCTTAACGAGCTTATTAGAATTCCGACTTGATAACCTTTCCCTTAATACCCTTGAGGCTGGCTCCTCCCTCCCCCCAGTGTTGTGTGTCCAGCCAGGCCGACAGCCTCGCTTGGGTGTGTGTTCCTGTGAGTATATTAATGCTTGGTTCACAGTTAATACTTAGGAATTATTATACGCACATACTGGCTTTGAACAACTTTTAAATTCTTTCGAGGACTTAAATAGAATCAATACTACCGCTGCCCTCTGGGGAAACTGAACTTCTGAGAAGAGAAATAAAGTTCCTAAAAATCAGTTACCCATCGGCTTTCCCTGTCCTGCGTATTCGGTATTTACTTGTCTTCACCCTCAAGTATAGCTGACTACGTGGTATTTATTTACCGCGTGGACTTTACTTGGTTTTAAGTTTTTACTTATTTAAGGCATCTCTACACCCAGCACGGGGCTCAAACTCACAACCCCGAGGTCAAGAGTCACATGCTCTTCCAGACCAAGCCAGACAGGCATGACCCCACATGGACTTTATTTTTAACAGCTTTAACCCAACAATTCTATCTGAAGAACAGGAAACTGATTGTTCCCACATGTCTGGACCCTCAGTATCCTGAGTGCCAGTAAGAGGACTGATCTCAACCCCAGTGAGGCAGGCGGTAGGCTGAGGTCTCTAGCCTCCCAGTTCAATCTCTCATGACAAAGGAAAGGATGATCACACATGGGCAAAGAATAGATTCTGGAAGTTTCTAAACTTACAGCCAGGAAATAACTATTCAAATTTGACTCGTGTAGTGCCTAAAACTTCCACGGCCTGACGAATCAGAGTTAAGTTGACTTCTCAGCCAATTCCCTATTGGCCAAATGGTTCCACACGGGAAGGAAAGAAATCCAAACTTTTTTCTTTTTTTTAAAGAAATCCAAACTTTAAAGGGAATTACTGCACTGGCTTTATGACTTGTGCTATCTTTAAGGAGGTTAGCTTGACTAAGAACGACACAGCTTTTGTTTTATGTTTCTATTATTTAGCTCTAACCCAGCTGAAACACTTGTAGTCTCTTTGTGGATGAAACAGCCATTCCACTACCAAAACTAGGCAAGTTTAGTACAAGCTATGCTCAGGAGAATCATAAGCAAATTAGATATTAAATTATCTTTTTCCTTTCTCCATCATAATTTTATAGTTTATAATTTTATAGTGTCCGGATAGGTATCTCTAGGCAAAATGTGCAATTTAACTCTGATTTTTTTTTTTAAGGTTTTATTTTTTGACAGAAAGAGAGAGATCACAAGTAGGCAGAGAGGCAGGCAGAGATAGAGAGGAAGGGAAGCAGGCTCCCCACTGAGCAGAGAGCCCGATGCGGGGCTTGATCCCAAGACCCTGGGATCATGACCTGAGCTGAAGGCAGAGGCTTTAACCCACTGAGCCACCCAGGTGCCCCAACTCTGATTTTTATTTTAAGTTGGAAAGGCTTAGATACATGGACTGCTTAGAAAGCACAGTGTTAATTTCTCTGTTCCCGGCTTCCTCCCTCTACGCTATCCCCAAATTGTACCTTATCTCTAAGGAACTACTCAACCTTCCGTCTTTTAGCTGAAGCAGTCAATGAGGCAGGCAAGACAGAAAAATCAGGGTGAGCGGACCAATAACCCCATGTGATGGTAATTAACATTGAGCGGCCTCTGCTAATGTGCTAGAAGAGAGTAAGAACCAGTTCACTGGGCCTTCGTCCTTAATGAGGCAGCGGGGAGCGGGGGAGGCAGGGTTGCCGTTAGATTGGGAAGAAATGATTTGTTGGAAGCAAAAGGAAATGGGACGCATCTTAAAATGTCATTGTGGGTAAGATAAGGAATTAGGGTCTTTCCGAGTTCTTAGCCCCGCTTCATCAAGATTGAGCTCTGAAGGTTTCAGAGATGAGGACCCACGCAGTCGGCTAGAGTTAAGTGACTAGCCCAAGGTCACACAGTGAGTTAGCAGGAGTAAGAAAATTATAATTCACAGTCTTTGTATTTCTAGTTCATTGCACCAGGCAGTGAAAAAAAATAGTCTGTATAATAAAGCCCCAAAGCCATTCTTTTTCAACTTACAGGAGTTAACAAATTATAACAGGCTTGGCATTTAAGAAGAGTCAGTTTCAAACTTAAAACTGAATTTAAACACAGAGCTCACAGTTACAGTACTGGTCACCAGAGTAAAATGTTCTCTCTGATCATGACTTCAGGCCAACATTAATCAAAAAGGAGAAAAGGAAATGGTGTGGATCTGCAAATGCACTACCTTTACCTACGAGGATGGCCATTATTGCTCACCCAATTCATTTAATATTCAGTATTTCATCCAAAAAATATTCCTGGATTACTTACAACACACCAAGCCCTGCATTGGACATGGGGGTATAATAGTGAGTGAGACAGACAGACACAGAGACCCAGTACACTCACAGGGTCATCAAGTCAGCAACTATCTCCCACACTGGTCAGGCTCCCTTGTCTAGGACACGCCGTTTTATCCCACTTATTTATGGGCAACAGCCCCCCTCCCCCGGCTCAAGTTCATAAAAAGAGAAACCAAAACCCGGTCGCTCCAAAGTCCCATTACAACTACGTGTGTGATCCCTTAAGAACAATTGATACTGGGGCGCCTGGGTGGCTCAGTGGGTTAAGCCGCTGCCTTCGGCTCAGGTCATGATCTCAGGGTCCTGGGATCGAGTCCCGCATCGGGCTCTCTGCTCAGCAAGGAGCCTGCTTCCCTCTCTCTCTCTCTCTCTCTGCCTGCCTCTCTGTCTACTTGTGATCTCTCTCTGTCAAATAAATAAATAAAAATCTTTAAAAAAAAAACCCATAAAATTTAAAAAAAAAAAAAAAGAACAATTGATACTTATTTTATCTCTATAGGGAATTCAGGCCTATTTTTACTAAGTGCCTAAAACACCCTTCTTTAATTTATGTGCCAAATTATCCCCTTCATCTTTTTCTAGTCACTCCTCATACAGCACTTTTCTCAAAGCCCTTTTCTTGACTACAGTTAAGACCCCAGGAGTGGCTAGTAAGTGACCCAGGGACTCTGTATACTCAAAAGCCACATCACCTAATTGTCACCTTTGTTGTGCCCAAAGTAATTCCCTGGGCTCTCGGTTAGTATGGTTTCTGGTTTGGACATATCTTAACACTTGTAGATGATTTTCCAGTCCTGAGGAGGGTTTGTAAACAGGTGATTTTTATAATTCTGCTGTTTCTCGAAGCAAATTGTTGGACTCTGTCACTGTTTTTGTTTTTTGTTTTTTTTAAGATTTTTATTTATTTATTTGATAGAGAGAGATGACAAGTAGGCAGAGAGGCAGGCGGGGGGGGCGGTTCCCTGCTGAGCAGAGAGCCCGATGTGGGGCTCGATCCCAGGACCCTGAGATCATGACCTGGGCCGAAGGCAGAGGCTTAACCCACTGAGCCACCGAGGGGCCCCAGGAATCTGTCACTGTTAGTTAATTTTTCTTCTGGTCCTTATTTCTAATATCTGGGTGGATTACTACTGATATAAAGAAAATTGAAGAGGTACCTGGCTGGCTCAGTTGGTTAAGTGTCTGCCTTTGGCTCAGTTCAGGATTTCGGGGGTCCTGGGATCAAGCCCCACATCAGGTTCCCTGCTCAGCGGGCAGTCTGCTTTTCCCTCTCCCTCTGCCCCTCCCCACTGCTTGTGCTCCTCTGTCTCTCAAATAAATAAATAAAATCTTTAAACTAAAAAAAAGGGCAACCCTCTCGGGTCCCCTTCTTCTTTGGGAGCTTTGTACTACCACTCAATAAACCTTGCTTTGCTGCCCTCAACTCTGCCCCGTCTACCTCTTCATTCTTCAAAGCAGTGTGACCAAGAACAGCAGGCACCAAAGGCAAAAATCCTACAACATGTGCTTCTAGAAATTACTAAATGTATCCCTAAATTTGTCAGTCTGAAGAATGCTATTATAACAAAGACTTTACCATTGTTTACTTCTTCGTTTTCACCAGAAAGTAAGCTTTGTAAGGGTTAAGAATTCTAGTTTATGTAATTAAAGCTACTAGAAATAATAAGGGAAACAGCTCCACATGCAAGCAAAGTAAAACGTCTGCTTTAATGAGGAAAAAGAGAGTCATAGAAGGCTTGTGCAAAATAAGTTTTTGGAAAGGGAAAAAAAAAAAGAAAGAAAACTGAAGATAGGCTCTAAAATGGATCATGCTCCTAAAATTCCATTTTGTATCAAAGAAAACCTATTTTCTAAAAATCTTTCATTCCTTTAAGGTTTCCATTTTAAGAAAGCTCTACAGGTCACCGTACAGGGACATAATAGTGGAATGTCGGCAATTCCCGGGGCTTTGCCCCACTAGAGGCAAGTGTAAGTGACATGAACCCATGGACAGAAACCAGGTCCGTGCCAAGGAGCCCCAGTCTACGGGGCTCATGTCGGAAGCAACAGAGGGCAATTAAGACTTCTTACTCCTCGTCCTGCAAGGTCTCCTCCTCCTCCTGGATCTGGAACTGGTTCTTCACGGGAGCCAGGGTCTCCGTCTTGGCGTTGTAGTTCCGAAAGCAGACATTGAGCTTCTCGTCAAATTCATTCACGAGGTCCTCCATGGACTTGAAGCTGATTATTTCGGAAGAAAAATTCTCCAGCTCAGAGAGGGAGGGGTCCTCTAGATGGTGGGGAGATGAGCCGTAGAAGCACTGTGGTTTCTCCTCCTGGTCGTCTGAGCAACTGGGCCGAAGGTCCTCGAACTCTTCATCCAGACTCACCAGCGGGGCCTCCATTCTTGCCCGGCAAGAGGACAACAGCAAGCAACTCTCAGTTGATCTAGGAGAAATAAACAAGGTAACATGAGCTGGGCTGGGCTTTTGTGACAGCTCTGCAGGGGAGCCGTAACCAAGTCGTCCCTGGCTCTAGATCCCTCTGAGAAAGAAGATTCCGCTTGCCAGGCATCCATCATGGCCGCTCACTGTTATACACGGGAGATGTTCAAATAGGACCGTCCGTGTGAGTAACCTAAGTGGAGAAAACTTTGGAGACATGCCTGCTTCCAGTTCCCTGCTCCAAAACACAAAGCAGAGTGGTTAAGACGCAGGCCTGGACCAGACTGCCCAGGTTTGCATCCTGTTCTGATCCTGACAAGTTGTAGTTGGACAAGTTGCTTAATTCTCTGAGCTTCCTTTTGTTTTTTTCTCAAGAAATAATCATCTGCAAGGGATTGTCTGATCGATTAAGGGAGTAAACCCAGGTAAGTGCTTAGAACTGTATCTGGAAGATAATAAACATCATTGTTGTTCCATATGTTCTCCATTTAATATTATTATTATTATTATTATTACCACAGGTCCACATTCTTCACCATGTGCTCTGAGAACCAGAAGTCTTTGATAACTTATTTGGTGGCAGATCTGACCTGACCTCACTTGGCAACTAAAGCTGATCTACATGAATTTAAAGTTGCTTATGGTTTTAATTTATTCCATTTAGGGCGCCTGGGTGGCTCAGTGGGTTAAGCCGCTGCCTTCGGCCCAGGTCATGATCTCGGGGTCCTGGGATCGAGTCCCGCGTCGGGCTCTCTGCTCGGCGGGGAGCCTGCTTCTCTCTCTCTCTCTCTCTCTCTCTCTCTCTGCCTGCCTCTCCATCTACTTGTGATCTCTCTCTGTCAAATAAATAAATAAATAAAATCTTAAAAAAAAATGTTTTAAAAAAATTTTATTCCATTTAATGTGTTTTGCTGCAGAAATGTTAATGTTTTTAATTATGGCGATTGCTGCCCCAATCCCCAGGAGACGATATGCAGAATATGCACTCTATTACTGCTTTCAAAATGCCTGCCCTAAGGGTTTTGGATAGGAATTCATGGACCTGGATATTACTACCCTCATCAATAAATCATAGACCAATAGAGACTTTCAAACAAGCACCTGAGCTCTTCTAAGACACAGAGCTTCTATCTGGGGTTAAAGGAATGGATCAAATGATTGGTTATCCTGAAAGAGAGAGACCCAGCTAACTTCCCATGTGCTCCAAGGCCAACCTCCATAACCATCTCGGGCACACCCCGCTGAAAGGCTGCACACTCAGGCCTGCTTTCTTTTCCACGGCTCTGGGTCCTCCTCATACACTGCTTTCGACCGCGATATATCCAACCATGTGGATATCCAAGTCCTTCCCCAATTTTAATTTCAATCCCTCAAGGGCACAAACATCTCTGGACATCCGTATGACTTCTAGCACACACTGCTGTGCAGCTAGGCAATCAATCAGTGTGCACTCAACGAGAAATGATCATTTGTCCCCTACATATAGTTTCTCATTTTCAATTTCAAGCAGCACAGCATTACTGTCTCTCATACCCTTCCCTCCCTATTCCACTTCCTTCCCCATAATGTGGAAAGGCAACCAAACTCTTCTCTCCTGTCTGTGTGATTACTGGTCCAATGAGATGCTGAAATTGGAACCACCACCTGAGGAGAACCGAACAAATAACAAAAACCATGGGTTTTGCCCTGCAAGTGCCGTTCTCCATCTCTGTCTATAAAACTTAAACTCTAAATGAGTGAGGCAAAGGTCATGCCAGGCCAGGACCAAGCCAGCTCTTACTGGGATTGTACTGGGATTAAGCCAGTTACCATCACATCCCAACAAAACACATTCTAAGTATTTATGGTTTGCAAAGGCAACATGATAAGACATAAAAATAAAGAGATATAAAAGCAGTATGGTATCTTGGAAAGAACATATGCTCAAGAGCCAAAGAGACCTGCCAATGTGTGGCTAAGTGACAAGCTTCATGGGTCCTGATTTTCTCATCTGTTAGAAGATGAAGGTGTTGGTGTAGAGCTAATAGCTTTGGAAGTTAATTTCAACAACTTATTAATTAACAATCTTAATTTTAATAAAATATTTAATGATGTATTTTATTTGATCCAATATATCCAAAAGGTTGTATTTCAAAATGTAATCTATATTTTAAAATATTAATGAGACAGTTTCCATTCCTTTTTCGTACTCAGTCTTTGAAATCCAGCGTGTGTTCAATGTACATTTTCCATTTGGACTATCCACAGGTGGCTTGTGGCTACCATATTGGATAACAGAACTATAAAGCAATATGCAACTAATTAGCAGTCAAGGTTTCTTCATCTAGGGTCTACAGACCCCTAAAAGGGCTCTTTGAATATAACTATCTTTTATGCACTTAAACATATTTGGAGGAGAATCCCATAGGTTTCTCTACATTGCCAAAGGGGCCAATAGCACAAAAAAGACTGAGAATCCCTGAGTGTCAAAGTAAGTTGAGAAAAGGTCACAGGGTACAATAGGAAGCAAGGAAAGGCTTTACAGATGAGGGATTTGGAGGCACCTGGGTGGCTCAGTCATTAAGCATCTGCCTTTGGCTCAGGTCATGATCCCGGAGTGTTAGGATCGAGCCCCGCATCAAGCTCCCAGCTTGGCAGGAAGCCTGCTTCACCCCCTCCCCCTCCCCCCGCTTGTATTCCCTCTCTCGCTCTCTGTCAAATAAATTGAATTAAATTAAAAACAAAAACAAAAGCAAACAACAACAGATGAGGGATTTGTTGAGGACTAGAGCAGAACTCTGTGACGGTTAAGAGCCTGGACTCCAGGTTCCCCTTTTGATCCTATCACTTCTTAGGTATGAGACCTGGACAAATTATCAGCCTCTGATAAACTTGTGCCTCAGTCTCCTCATCCGTAAAATGGGGTTTAAATAACATTTAGGGGTGCCTGTATGGCTCAGCCCGTTAAACATCCCACTCTCGGTTTGGGCTCAGATCATGATCTCAGGGTCACGAGATGGAGCCTCGCATCAGGCCCCATGCTCAGTGTGGAGTCTGCTTAAGATTCTCTCTCTCCCTCTCCCTCTGCTCCTCCCCCCTGCTCATGCTCTCATTCTCTCTCAAATAAATAAGTAAATAAATATTTTTTAAAAAATAAAATAAAATGGCATTTAAATTGAATGTTATTTTGTAGAGTAATGACAATAATCTTTGAAAGTGCTAAGCACAATGTATGACATATGTGGTGTCCAATAGATGTCAACGATTTTAGGAAAATAAGGATAACTCAGTTTCACGGAAAGGTAGGGGGAGGGTGGTTCAAGTAAAAAATAAAAAAATAAGATAAAATAAAAACTCCCCCTGCTGCGACAGTCTATGTGCAATGCTCCACGTGTTGATCAAATGGGAGAACCATTGCTGAATAAATTTTATCACCTCTTTTTTTATTTATTTGGTCAAAGGTTCTTGGAACACAGGCCCCATTTCAGGGAGACATGAAAGCTAACTGCCTTATGTTCCATATATGTACATTTCCTTTAAATCTGTACTCTTCTCTAAGAGAGAAGGGGGAGTGGGAAAAAGTAAGTGATACCAACGGGGGGGCTAGTTTGAAACAGCACCGTCCATACTATTAACCAGCAACAAGGGAACGATCCAACCAGAATCTAAGACAGAGACTGAGTTTGGGGTGTTGGCAACAGGAGGATTATGCTGAAAGCACCTATCCTCAGCCCAGGCAGCCTCTGGAGGAAATGGATTCACCTAGATGATTATAAAACAAGAACGGGATAGCACAGCCCTAGAGTTCTGAAACATGGTCATATCCTGATTTCTGCGCATCGATTCACGCCCAGGAGCCAAGAAGCTCTGCGTGAATGACTACCCGGGGACCTGGGGATGAAACAAAAACTGAAAGCCTGCACTGGAAATTGGAAGTCGCTCAACACCCAAGCTGAGCCCGGTATTTGTAGAAAGACCCCAGGCTGCGGCAGAGGCCATGAGAGCCTGGCTCAAGGAGGGGCCTCTGGGTGGGCACTGGCCACCCTTCTGGAACCCGTGCCCCTTCTGTCCTTCCTTTAGCTCACTTTCTCTTGCTCTTCTCCCTTGGTGAGGTACCTTTGCACTCCCACTGAAATGTCCTACTCTTGCATCCTGACAAGCTCTCCCCTGTGTTCACTCCCAGCTCATCTCAGAGGCCTCCTCCCTGAAAAGCTAGGGTTAATGCAATTCAGAGCTTATCCTCTGTCTCTACACTTCCCAAATGATTTTTTTTTTAAGGCAGGAAGAATGGCAGAAAAAGGGAACCGCGGAAGGGTCACCTTGTCTTTTTCACTCTATCCAATAACAGCGCGCAGGACTAGACTTTGATTATGTCCTATAATCTACTCCATTTATTTTGGCTCCCGATAGATGGTGTAATTTGGAAAAGAAAAGACAGTTCCAAGCATCACAGAGAGACGGTAGGAAACACAGAAGCCTCTCCCCTTGCAGCATAAAGATGCAGCTTGGGGCTGCAGTCACAAATTTTCACTCCCTGCTTTGCTGAGCTGAACAGAGAGAAGCAGGAGCAGAGAATTCACCATTGCCTCCCCCCCTCCCCCCCGCTGGGCCCCTGCACCTCCACAGAGGCCCCAGCCCATCTCCCCCTTCTTCCTATTACCTACCCCATAGATCAGTTATTTCTAGCCCCTTACCCACCTCATCCCTAAAATCTGCCCTGCACTGATTCACAGCGGCTGTCCCACTGCTACTCAGCAAAACCAGCCAGGATACAGGATAGTGCCAGCTTCCCACAACGAATGTATTTTGTTGCATAGAAGTCAGCAACCCCTTTGCGTTCTGCTTCCCCCCTCTTCCTCCTCCTCCTCCTGCTGCTCCATTCACCCTCATTTCACATCCCCCTCCTCCCCACCCCGCCCGGGTCTGTTGGGGTAAAGAAAGGCTTCTCCAAACAGCACAATGGCTGGCGCTCCAAGAAAGCTGGGCTCAGCCCGCGCAGGCCGCACACAGACTCCACGGCCCTTT